CCTGACCTTCGCTAACCCTGGTGTACTACATAAAGTACATAAGCCAAATTTCGTTTTACGGCTTGCATACATATCTTCAGCCATCGCGTGATTTGTATGTGGCTCCGATTTCTCACCTCACGGTAATGGACGTTATGGAGTACCGTCTAGAATACGTTGAAGGCAAATCCGAGCATAGCCTCACTGAAGTAACCGCTCCCCTGGATGCAGATGTTTGGTCCACCACTCCAGAGACGCCACTTTCGCACTTTGAAACGCGTCAGTAAGACGCTAGACGCTAAGGTACTTTAATCGAATCTCACCAAAACTATCAGGATCCGCCCAACGTTTGATATCTTATCTGCATGATCGTCTGTTATGCTCTCTCTACTCGGACTTCTTTGCCCTCTCTCCGATTCACATCATCTCTCATCTTCCTGCCTGCCTCTTCTCCGCAGCGTCAAAAACCCAGAAGGCTCAAATTTCCTGGGTTTTTGACGACTTTCTTTTCTTTCCTCTTCACTTCCACTCCACTTTGCATCGCTACCTTCATATCAGAGTCTAATTATCACATCAGTTTAACCCTGATCTTTGCCTTCAGAAAGCCGTTCTCAACAGCCAGTCAGTGATCATTTGCTGGGGAGCATGGCAGCCGTTTGCGAATCGCTCGCAGCTGAATCTCAACGGGCACATCCAAGCTTCAGGTACTGCTTCACATTACGGAGTTCCTCTGCTTAACAGATAATATTAGTTCGGTACTTTCCAGTGTCACTCATTGGCGGTCCGCGTCCTAATCCCGAAGAGAGCCTGTGCTTCAGGAATTTGCTTCATTTGTATCGTAGAGATGACAGTATATTCACGGAAAGTGCGCCAAAAATCACCATACAATTCAACTTCGCCCTGGATGATACGGTAAGCGGCACTTTTATCACCGAGCCAGATAGGATTACGGTATGGCTTTATTGACAGCGCCATTACGGTTCACTTTCGCGGTCGACAACCCAGCTGGGCGATTCGCAGCGTGAGACGCCTGCGCCGACGAGAAAGGAAATAGCCGATGTTGTTGCCGTGGACAAAGAGGCCGAGAGATCGTCACGTCGGCAAGAGTCGAGGAAGGATGATTCTGATGCAGCGCTGACTGACCAGGAAGAGCCACTGCCGCCTATAATCACGAAGGTTAGTGCCGCTTGTTTTTTGACAATCATATATGGTCACTATGATCGCACGGGTCTTTAAAGAGCTTGAAAACCTAAATATCGCTTCTGCCTTTCTAGGGACACTTAATTTTGCTACTGTAGAGCCGGAAGGAGAAATCCCTGGAGTACGCACCTCACTCCTCTCACTCAGCGGCACCTCAATGAGGGGTCCCAGGCGTAGTAGACAGGCGACAAGCGTTGATGTTGCGCCCCTTTTGCCGCTTGAAAGTGCGCGACAAAGGCGCAAGGAGCTCGTCCGACCCGCAACTCACACCTTCGTCCGCAAGCCCCACCCTTCCGCTGTCGGTTGCCACGTGGCGCTGCTTGAAAAGCGCGGGCGCATTTGAGGCAGCGGTCCCATTGCGATCCAATGTTATTGGCACTGGAGCAACTAGAGTTAGGCTCGTGAAACTCGTCCAATGCGCCCCTTCTTCATCCCAAGGTGGAATGCTGCTGAAATAGGCTAAATATAATAAAACCAGGTTTGCTCCGCCCGCTATCGCGCGCATCACAGGGTAGGGGGAACCACGGAATAGCAGCATGACGTACTCCATTAACCACCTCACTATTGAATGTGTTATACCTCCTTATACCCCTTCAAAAGGAATGAACGAGCGCACTCAGCCTCATATTCTACATGGTGCTGCCGGGGCTGCCGGAGTTGGCGGGCGGTAGAGGGGAGAGGAGAAAGCAGAAGTGTGAGGGAGGAAAGAGAAAGAGGGAGGGAAGGGGAGAGGAGAAAGGGCAGGAGAACATGGCGCTGCCATGCGCCCGAGAGAAGG